CAAAGTAGATAACAACTAGAAAAGGGGATTTAAATTTTATTTGCTTTTATTAAGCTTATTTTCTGCAGCATGAATATTATACAGTCGTACCTCACTATAGGATACCACCCAATACTAGAACAGCTCTATTTAGGATTGGAATTCAAACTAGGTTGGCCAAATAGCGAGAGCTGCCTATGCTGAGCCATTTTGTCGTTTGCATTCTTTTGTCGTATGTGCCCTTTTGTTGTTTTTATACTTGTTTGTTTGTATCCTTTTGTCGCTTGTGTCATTTGTCGTTTGTGTCCTTTTGTCGATGTATTTAGAGTAAACCCAAGATGATATTTTTGGCTCTATTACACAATATACGTCCAATCAACTATTATGCGTCCAATCAACTTTTATACGTCCAATTAAAGTTTATACGTCCAATGAAAAGTTTATGCGTCCGATGAAAATTTATGCGTCCAATAAAAAGTTTATGCGTCCAATCAAATTTTATGCGTCCAAACGTATCTTTTCATTTATAATTTAAAATAAATATAATTTAAAAATTAATTATAAATAAAAAATCTTATTTCAATCAATTAATTTTAAATGCTTTACCAAAAATTAAACTCGGAATCGTATTCGAATCCCTTCCAATATATGGTGAAAAATTTAGTTCACTTAAGAAATGGATGGTATAGTGCGAATGCTATTCGAATGTCTTAGAATAGTGGAATAGAACTGGTACGTGAGGGTACTGCAACTATATATGGGAAATAGTTATTTACCTGTAATGTCAGCGTTTAATTTACATAACAGACATTAAATTCGTTTCTTAAATTCTTAATATTTTTAAATGGATCTCTGGTAGCCCTTGAGCAAGGCGTTATAATAAATAAAATTATTTCGATTTTTTCTGAATTTATTTTTTTACTGGACGCATAAACTTTGATTGGACGTATAAAAATTTGATTGGACGCATAAATTTTCATTGGACGTATAAACTTTGATTGGACGTATAAAAGTTGATTGGACGCATAATAGCTGATTGGACGTATATTGTGTAATAGAGCCATATTTTTCAGCCCGCGGCTTATCCTATAGGAAGGTCCGACTGTATACTGTATTACAATAATCTTCCTAAAAATTATTATTCAAAACCTACTCGGAATAGGCGGTTTATCAGGCCAAATAGCCGACAATTCATAAACCGAATATTTCTGTAAATGGCAGTCTGCCGCCGGGAATCTAATTTCATCTCCATTTACAGTATCCGAAATTCTAATTTTCTCCACTATAGTGAAAGGTTGCTTCACTTCCTTGTCTTCTAAATTATTTTCTTCCTCACTAGCTTCCACCCCAGTCAGTTTCTTCCCCTCATCCTCAATAAAGATGCGTATTTTTCTAAGCTGTCCAAACAGCTCTGCATTCTCCTCAGTTCTTCCGTAGTGTCCAAAAAGCTCGTCATTCCCTTCCCTTTTTCCGAGCTGTCCAAGGAGCTCTGCATCCTCATCAGTTCTTCTGTGGTGTCCAAAAAGCTCGTCATTCCCTTCCCTTTTTCCAAGCTGTCCAAGAAGCTCTGCATTCTCATCACTTTTTCTGCTGTGTCCAAAAAGCTCGTCATTCCCTTCACTTCTTTCTTGAGTTGATTTTGGCGGCACCTGATAGCTTAACATCCCATCAGAGCAATTTGTGTTCATTGGGCGCATTCTGACATTCGAGCCGTTCTCCCCGCATAATTCAATCTCGGGCAAAATTGTGGAACCATAAGCCAGGGAAACTTGGAGTAACCAATTGGACCTTTCTTTTGGTGATTGTTTCCGTCGAGGTAGACGAGTGGAAACACCCTTTTAAAGCAAAATAGATTAGATAATTTTAGAAATACCTCTAGAGATACAGTACCCACAAAATTGGATACGGTACCCACCATGTACCCTCAAAGTTGGAAGCATCTCAGTTTATGATACCTCATTTCAAAAGGGTTGGTCTCGTGGTGGGAGAAGCTCCTAGGCTATATCCTTTATTTAAAGGACCCCTCATTATAAGCGACGATACCATAAGACTTGGTTACGCCCCTTAAGAGATCGTTACTGGGTCAGAGAAGCTCTTAAGGGCTACCCTCTATTTAAGTCATCCCTCATTATAAGGTATGGTAAGGGTACGATGCAAAGTTTAACCTGGGTCTCTTAAAATAACTAATTTAAGATAGGCTCTTTAAAATTTGGTAACCCTGGGTGGAAGGAGTTACCTAAGAATACCCTCTAGTTGAGGCACCTCTCTTTATAAGGTCAATACTAAGTGGGTTTTAAAAATAAGCTTTGCTTTCTGGGTAACTTAAATTTGATTTAAGAATGTCTTTTGAAAGAGGTTGGCTATGGATGAGAGAAACCTTAGGGGGTACTCCCCCATTATAGGGTAGGATTCTATCAGCTGCTAGCTTAGCATGAGGTTTCCTGTCATTTTTACCTCCATTTCGGTTGTCAATAACTCTTTTGTACAATATTGGGCCTGCTCCGATAATTCATGAAATTGAGAGCGAGTTAGGACATAACTAGAGTTTAAAAAAATTTTTTGAACTGAAAATTTGGTTGTTTTTACCGATACGGGGTGTGGTAAGATTCTCGAAGGAGTATTCGCCCACACAAAAATTCTGAATTTGAGGAGAGGGGCCAAAGCCCTTGTTTTTGAAAGAGGCCTTGAATGGCCAAAAGTCCATCTACTATTTGTTCTCCAATTGAATTTGGCTCGAAACGGAGACGGGCACCGACTACTCGACCGACGCTTACTGCCTCTACTTTGAATGAAATGTCCTGTAAAACTTGAAAAATATTTTCCAAAAAATGGCTAAATTACAGTAGAACCTCAGTTTAGATAAACCCTAGGGGCTTAAAAAATTAGGCTTATTATTAAGGGTAAAAATTAGGGATACAACGACAAAATGGTACACCCAACAAAATGGTACACACGACTAAAGTGTACAACTGACAAAAGTGTACACGCGACAAATAGTAAATTGAACAAAAATGGTAGAAGCGACAAAATTGTATATTGGCAAAATAGTACATTGGACAAAATGGTACATTGAACAAAATAGTACATCGGACAAAAATTGTACAGGCGACAAAATGGTACATTGGACAAAATGATAAACACGTCAAAAGTGTACAACTGACAAAATGGTACATTGGACAAAAGTACATTGGACAAAATGATACAGGCGACATAAAGGTACAATGGACAAAAATTGTACATGCGACAAAATGGTACATTGAACAAAAAAGTACATTGGACAAAATGGTACAAAAGCTCCCACACCTAGTGGTCTACCAACCACTAAGTGTCCTAAAGTGAGGTCCTACTGTAACACCTACAATATTTTCATTCTCCTTGTCAATGTCTTCATTTATCGGCATATTTTCCTCATCACCAGATTTTAATTGTTTTTCTTTGTAGTCCATAGGCGGGGAGATAGTTACTCGAAATATGCCAGTCTCTCCAAGATCTCCATGCAAATCCATTAGAACCTCCTTATTGTTCAAACACTCAATTTTGGGTGTTGACTGAATGCTGATTTTGCCTTCATAGGTTATCACTGATAAATGATTAGATTAAAAATAAATTTAAAAATAAGAAACAAGGCAATGGTTCAACTCCGATATGAAAAGCAGAGAGTTCTCTAAACGGCTGATCCCCCTTCTTTGTACTTTTCCAACGCAGCCACTTTCCACACATGACCACAAAGCGTTCTTCGGTGTCCAGATCCTTTAAATATTTGAATTATGGGAGTATTAATACACTCGTATGGTTGGAGCTCACTATAAAATAGACCCTTAGGGATGAGGTGTCTTGTAATGAGGGTAGCTTAAATAGGGGATTCTCTTAGGAATCTCCCTCTAGAGTCAGTGGTCCACCATATCTCCCCCACTCAATGATGGGTGAGAGGGGGAGGGGGAGAGTCTTACGACACTTTAGTCCGATCCCTAAACTACAGTAATTATTTTTTTAAATTGTCTGTTAGAATAAAGCACACCTTGAATTCCACAAAATTGAGAAAATAATCGGGACTACTTCCAGTTCCATCAATCTCAACACGTACTTTAAGTAGTTCACCAATGTCGCCAAAATCAAGCTGAAAATTCATTGAAGGCTTACTAGTGATGCTCGAGAGTCTCGGTCTCCGTTCACGAATCGAGAAATTTCACGGGAGTTTGAGAGTCTCAGTCTCGGTTCCCGATCTGGTTCTCAATCTTGGTTCTCGAGTCTCGACCTCGGTTCTCGATTCTCGAATTCGAGTCTCGATCGCTCGAGTTTCGATTCTCGACCTCGGTTCTCGAGTCTCGGTTTTATCGTCTCGATCTCAGACCTAATTCCCGGTCTCGGGCCTCGATCTCGACTCTCGTTAAATTTTGATTCCCGAGCTTCACTAGAGTTTAACAGCCCCCCAAAGCAATTTTCACCTGTATCAACGCATCAGAAGGCACTTTAGCCATGTTGGAGTCATACAATCCAGAGGTTGTTGACTGGGCTCGAGTTCCATACCCAGTAATGGATAATTGTGAAGTCGTTCCACCCAGTCCCTTTTCTGAGCCTCCATGGAGAATAAGCTCCCAACGGCCTCCTTTTAAATTTTTTTATTTCTTTCCCTTTAAATCTTTAATTTACTTGTTACTCGATCCTCTATAGGGATTGATGAAATTTCGTAGAAGGAGCTGAGTCGAATTGTGCGCTCCAATTTTCCATCAACTTGGCCAGAATCAAGCCACTTAAGAATTTTTTTTATCAAGTCAGAGTCAGACCTCAGTCAAGTCAGACCTCATTATAAGACAACCAATTTGTTGAGACTCTTTGGTCTGAAAGTTATGGATTCGCAAGGATAGGGATCGGCGGATGTCGGATCCACAAAGGGGCCCGAAAATATCGAGGTTCCTATGTTGGGGTTCACAAATGTCGGAGTTCACAAAACTCGAACCCTTAAGTGTTGGGGTCCGCAAATGCGAATGTTCACAAATGTCGGTGTTCTCAAATGTCGGGGTTCGCGAGTGAGGAACCCTTAAGTATTGGGGTCCGCCAATGTCGGGTCGCTAGTGTCAGATTCGCGAATGTCGGTTACGCAAGTGTCGGTTTTCGCAAGTGTCGGGTAGCCTTTCAAGTTAGGCCTGACAGTATTCAAATTAATTTTTAAATTTAACTCCCACTTTATTGCATAGGAAAAGAAATTGGCGACAATCCTCACTAGCTTCTTCATCCTCAGTAACCATTATCCTATCAATGAAGATGCCAGCACCTAGGATTTATTTGATAATAAGATTTCAAAAATCCACTACCGTATCCTTTACAGTCGTGCCCAATTGTCAATTTTTTCAAAATTCCAAATCGGCTGGGTACTCTGAATTGGAAGGAGTCTGAATGGTTTTGACGAAAGCGCTGTCCATTTGCCCCACTCTGCAACCAATTTGTGAACTCCTGTCGAAGCCATAGCCGTTCTGACTCAATCCCCCCAGCTCCCACCAGTATTATATAGAGATCGGCCTCTGTATCAGCCGCCCACCGGTTTCCGGTGAGTACGGTAATTGTGTAGAGATAATCTGAAATACTATCTTATCACTGATAAGGCTGACAAGAGTACCTGTTCGAGGTGTTCTCTGTGAATTTACTGGGCTTTTGTCAATGTGATCCTGTGACATTTCCCACCCCAATCTTTGTTTTCCTTGAAGTAGCTCGGTAACACTGGCTTCTTCTCTATCCGAAGACGAATCGTGGGCTGTCTGTTAAAAAGAATAGAGTATTTCTATATTAGAGCCCCCTGACTAGAGCCCCTCCCTAGAGCCTAGACTAGAGCCCCTCCCTCCTTAATGAATAGAGCCCCTCCCTCTTTAATAAAGCCTCCGTTTGGAGGGTGGCTGGAAAATAGGGTCCCTCTCACCTTTGATAATCAGAAAAAAATAGAGCCCCCCCCCCCTCTTGATGAAAAATATGGCTTTTAAAATAATACCCCCCCCCTCGTTCAAAATAATATCCTTTCACACTATAGAAAATGTTCCCTTCACACTACGAGATGTTGCCTCTTCACACTATGAAAAATGTTCCCTTCACCCTACGAAGACTTGTTCCCTTCACACTACGAGATGTTGTTCCCTTCATTATTAAAGATGTTGTCCCTTCACCCTACCAAGGCTTGTTCCCTTCACACTATGAAAAATGTTCCATTCACACTGGTTCCCTTCGTACTAAGAGATGTTCCCTTCGGACTACCAAAAATGTTCCCCCTTTGTGGGATGGAAAAAACCCTTGGGGCTCTATTACAGAAAATACAGTATATTCCTTAATAAACATTCATTTTACTTCATTCCCATAATCGGGGACAAGCATGGTAGTTGACGTCTTTTTAAATGAAGTCTTCCTCTAAAATTATTTTTTAACTTGTAAAATCTTTCTCCAATAAAAACCTTTCCAGATTTTGGCGTTTTAACACGTGTGATAATCGCATGATGCCTTTCGTTGGGCTTATACAAATTATTTTTCGAACGACGCCTAGGGGCATAACTGCCCGTTCCAATGTAAATCGGGTGTTCGGAGAAACGTGTATGTTTAAAGCCTTTGCGCACTGTGTACCTGAAAGGATTGGAAATGAAAACAGAAAAATCAGAAGTTAAAACTTCAGAACTAGATGGTTCCCTTCCCACTACGGAAGATGTTCCCTTCGCACTAGGGAAGATGTTCCCTTCGTTCTAGGGTACTTTCACCCTAAGAATTATGTTCCCTTCGCACTGCAAAAATGTTCCCTTCGCACTAGGCTCCTTTTAACTAAGGGGATGTTCCCTTAGCACTATCAAAAATGTTCCCTTCGCGCTAGTGTCCTTCACCTTAATAATGATGTTCCCTTCGCACTACCAGAAATGTTCGCTTCGCACTAGTTCCCTTTACAACACGGTTGAGGTTCCCTTAGCACTATTAGAAATGTCCTCTTCGTGCTAGTGTCCCTTCACACTTCGAATGTTCCTTCGCACTGCAAAGATGTTCCCTTCGCACTACAAACATGTTCCCTACGCACTAGGTCTCCTAAAGGTTCCCTTCACACTAGGAGTTGTCCCCTTCGCACTACTCAAAGATGTCAATTAGGTTCCCTTCGCACTACGGAATATATTCCCTTCTAAATACCAAAAATGTTGCCTTCACAATAGAGGCCGGCTTGAGGACCGAGATTCGAGATAACTAATAAAATTTAATTGAAATTAATTCTCACCCTCTCCACACGCTCTGAATCTTTACTGCAGCCTGTCCATACAATATCCGTTCCAACTCATCTGAGTAAACTCCACTCATTCCCCCTTCATTCTCCTGTTCTGGGTTGCTTCCACCTGTATGGACAATTGTGTATTGAACAGGTGAAGGTGATTTTGCTTCTTCTTCGATCTTTGGAGGAGTTGTTACCTCATCCATCTCGTTTACTTCCTCTACATCCTCCTCCTTCATATCTTCAACCTTGTTTATTCTCCTTACTTCCTCGTCTTCATCCTCATTATCCTCTTCATCATCCTCATCCTTGTCTTCATCTTCATTCATCGCCACCTCATCCAAAGCCTCCTCTTCCCTCTCTTCCATTCCATCTTCCCTCGCATCTTCCCTTCCATTCTCCATTTCATCTCCTACAGTATCTAACCCCTCTCTCTCTCCCTCCTCATTTTCCTCCTCCTTTTCCATCACCTCTTCCCGTTCACCCCCTTCCCTCTCCTCTCCTTCCCTCTCTTCCTCCCCAATATCCCCTTCATTTTTCCCCTTTGAAGATTTTTTCCTTCTCCTTTTTTCCATCTGGTGCAATGCCATTAATTCAGGCGGCTCTTCAGGGTAATCATCCTCCTCACCATCTACATTCTCATTTCCATCCCCTTCAGGCCTTTCTTCATTTACTTCATCAGGCATATTTTCTAACTCTTCCATTGTTGAACGAGGCCGACCAGAATCTGAGTCTGCTAAAAATTGTGGTAATAAATCGGGATGATAATTTTGTGATAGCTTTACTTGGACACGACAGATCCCCAAAAGTCGTATCCCCAAAAGTCATCCCCAACTTTTGGGTTCCCAAAAGGCTGATCCCCAAATGTTGGGTAGCCCACCCACTTGTATTTTAATGTTATCAGTGTCAGATTTTAAGTGTCCGAGTGGTTACACTAGTGGCTACCTAGCTAATGAGTAGAGATCGGCCGAAGAGGTCGGTCGATATTTTTTCGATAAATACCGAAAAATACCGAATATTGAAAAATATCGAAAAAATCAAAATTTTCTCGGTCGATATTTTTTCGATAAATATCGAAAAATATCGAAACCGAAAAATATCGAAAAAAAAGTCTCGATATTTTTCGATTTTTCAAAAATTTTTCTATAACCAATGAATAACAGAATAGACCTAGTAGTCTAATGAGATTAAGATTGATTAAATGGGATATTGGTGGATTTGGAAGTATTAAATGTAATATCAATGGACTTGTATTTGATATCAAAGGATCAAGTGGGATATAAGTGGATTTTAACCAGGGATAATGGATTTTAAGGAATTAAGGGGGATATTGAAGGGCTGATTGTGTATCGAAAATTTAGAGGTAGTAAGTGTGATATTGTGGATTTATGAGATAAGGAGGGATATCAAGGGATTTGTGTATTAAGAGGGATATCGGGGGATAACGATATATCAGAAAATAAAAAATCTTGGATTTAATATCCGTTTTGATATCTAGCTCTCCCAAGTCGTCTTGATCCCTCGAGATCCATTTTATCCACTTAATCCTTTGTTAGTTATATAATATTTCCATTTTCGGATCAATAGTGGATGAAGGGGGATATCTGGGGATTCACTGGGATTAAGTTGGATTCGAAAAATATCCAACCAGGCTTTACTAGTTCCGTAGTTCTAGTTCTGGAACTAGAACTAATTAGTTCCGGAACTGGAACTGGAACTTTGACATCACTGTATATTATCACACTCTCGTCTCGCTTTGGCAAACTAAATCGTGAATATAGAAGAAACCTTCCTCCTTTCTTGCGCCGCAGGCGAAAATTTTTTGAATTTCTGATGAGCAAGAAGCAAAAATGCATCCTTTTTGGCGCCAAAAATCCAAATTTTTGTCAAAAATGACGTTCGATATTTTTTCGATTTTTTGTAATTTGGTCGGTCGATTGTTTCGATTTTTAAATTTTGTCGGTCGATATTTTTCGATAAATATCGAAAAAATATCGAATACCGAAAAATATCGAAAAAGTCAAAATTTTGTCGGTCGATATTTTTTCGATAATATCGAAAAAAAATATCGAAAAATATCGATAATTATCGATGAAAAATCGTATCGAGCCGATCTCTACTAATGAGCTACCTAGCTCTGGAGCCTGACCAAAATTTGAAATGGTCTTAACAAGAGATCGGACCATAACGAAATCTGGGTCAAATCCCGAGACTGAGATTTTTCGAGATATCGAGAGTGTCGATCGATCGAGATATCGACACTCTCACTTCAATCTCTAGTCGGAGCCCCAGCACTGTTTCAACCCTTCACATTACGAAAGATGTTCCCTTCGCATTATCAGAAATGTTCCCTTCGCACTATGTCCCTTCGCACTAGGTTCCCTTCACTCTAAGAATGACAATTTGATATATTCTGATAAATCTAATCCCTACTATTAGTCGTAGTTGTGGTAACTGTTGACGAAGTTGTAGCAGTATTCTCAGCTGCATTTACAGTATCCTTAGCCTTTGTAGGGCCCAGGGTCGTTAATTTCCTCTTAACTTTAATGGCGCCAGATGCGGCCATTTTAACTGGAGGTGCATTGTTCGAACTGAAGGACCTTTGGCGGATAGAAACTTCCCCGTTATTTAGCAAATTAATGTTGGTATCGTCTTGCGAATTGGTTGAGTTAAGCATCCGTTTCTTTTTAATGTTTAAATCGAAACGTGTAAGGTTTTCGTAGGCGGGGAGTCTGTCAATGTTATTGCTGGGTTGTCGAGCTGTAAATTAAATTATAAGGAAATGTAGCTTATTTTCTATGATGGACCTCGCTTAAGGACACACTAAATACTTAAGAGGGGAACTCTAAGCTACTGTGAGCGTGTCTAAGCAATTGAGAGAGGAACTTAATACGAGATACTGAGGGGACTGAGAGGGGATTTTAGACGATAGAGGGAGAGTCAATGTAATTGAGGGGAGCCTCAGCACTGAGAGGGGTCCAAGCGTATTTAAGATACACTCAAGAGTAGCTAGATACACCACGATTCCAGATAGTGTTTTCAAATTGGCCTAGCACTGAGAGGGATGTTGTGTCCGTACTTGAAGAAAGAATATAAACGAACCCATCATTGGGTTGGATGGTCGATTGTGCCCTTAAGCCCTTTCCATGATGGTTCTATTCCATCTCCCATCCAATAAATCTCTTTACATCGTGGACAACATAAAGGGGATAAAGACAATGCCCTCTATTTAGATACAACTCATTACAAGATACAATTTTCAGCCCAAGGATGTATCTTAATATGTAGCTAGGTCCTTATATTCCTCTAAAATTTATTTTAAAATATACTCTTTGAGTGATTTCCACGATAGGGAGGCACTGATTTAGAAGATGAGGTTCCGGTTCCTTTAGATTTATTATTGCCATTCTTAATAGGCGGAAGAAGCAGTGTACCAGTCGATTGCTTTTGTTGTTGGAGAGGAATAACAGGCCTTAAAATGTCTGAGTTGGTCTGGCCGTTGAGTTGAAGACGTTCATGTCTGGGTACTGCAATTGCGCGAGAGTCCTTTAGTTGAAGAAGTCTGTGGGGAAATTTTTTGGAAAATTTTTTTGAAATTTTTGGAAATTTTGAAATTTTTTTGACTACTCACTGTTCAACGTTGAGAATACGATCGCCTTCGAACGAATATATTCGAAATATTGCCACGTGCAGACCTTCGCTTATTTCCTCCAATAAGTGATCCAACTCGCCTCTACTAAGAGGACTCACAAGAGTGCGATAGAAACGATGTGGGTTGCCATTAAGAACAAAATAAATCTGAAGGGGTTTTAACTTAATTTAATTTTTGAAATTTCAATACTAATGGGGTATCTCCCTACATGTCCGCAAAATTTTGTCCGCAACATTTGTCCGCAAAATTTTGTCCGCAACTTTAGTTTGCAAAATTTTGTCCGCAACTTTTGTCCGCAACTTTTTGCATTTTCTTTCTCCTCTCATAAGATTAAAGAGGAAATAGAAGGGAGAAGGAAAGGGAAAAATAGTTGCATACAAACATTTGCGGACATATAGAGAGATAGTGCCACAATTTTGGCAGATACTGCCAATTTGGCGAGATAGTGCCAATATTACCAAAATTTTCAAAAAAAATTTTCCACCTGCTTTGAAGTCACCGGCATAAATGTACTGTTTACTCTTTGTTGAGTAGACAAAGCAGTTGAAGCTTCCGGGGCAGGTAGCTTTTCGCTACGCGAGCGTGAAGCTCTTCCAACTTGTGAGGATTGAAACATGTTCGTATTATCTTGGTTGTTGCGAGGGTCGCGGGTCTGGCAAAAAAATATTTTTTTTAAATTTTTTAGTTTGGGAATTTTTAAATTAAATTTACTTAATATATTTTATTTTATTTAACTCAGAAAAAAATTTTTAGAATGAAAAAACCCTAGAAGTAGTTGCACTCTTAGCTGTAATATTTGCGTGGTGGAAAAGCGAAACCAACTTTTCAAGCATTTATTTTTTAATTAAATTAATGAGAATATTTTATGGCAGTTTCATATGAAACTAATATTAATTATACACTATGCGAAAAATGTGTTTACTTTAAATAAAATTCTTTAATTATTAATAAAGTTTATATATAATTAATTGTTTTAAACATTTAATTATTTGTTTTAAACATTATTTATTTGTTTTTAGAGAGAAACATTGTTTGGAGAAAATTGTTTGGAGAAACATAGATTTTATTTACATAAACAATGTTTTGAAAATAAATCAATGATGTTTTCCGGAATAAAACGAACATCAGGAAACACTATGTTCGTTCAAGTTTTCCGGAAAACATAGTTAAATGTTTTATGGAAACATCTAAACATTTATTTTTTCCTTAAGATGTTTCCTGATTAAACATTATTTTTCTGGAATAAAATAAACAATAAACATCAAGTAAAACAATGTTCGTTCAAGTTTTCCGGAAAAAAAGTTTTACAAAAACATTCATACATAGTTTTCATGAACATTTATTTAAACGATGTTTTTTCGAAAACAATATTATAACATTGTTTTCCGGAATAAAATAAACAACAATGTTCGTTCAAACTTTCCGGAAAACATAATAAATGTTTTACGGAAACATCTGAACATCTATGGACGCTATGCTCAAAACATGTTTGGAAAAATCTATGTTTCTTCAAACAATGTTTTGAGTAAGAACAACATTGTTTTTCCGGAAACAATATTAAAACATTCTTTTACGAACAAAACAAACATCTAGACAATGTTCGTTCAAGATTTTCCGGAAAACATTATTAAATGTTTTTCAAACAATGTTTTTATTTTATTATCCGGAAAAATAATTCTAAAACATTATTTTCCAGAAAAAAACTTGAGCGAACATTGAAAACGAATAAAACAAACATCCGGAAAAACATTGTTTGTTCTGTTAAAACTTTCCGGAAAACATAATTAAACATATAATAAAACATCTAAACATTCCCAAATGTTTCTCAAAACAATGTTTTTATTTATTTAAACATTGTTTTTCCGGAAAACAATATTAATTTTATTTGTTGGGGCAAAAACATTGATTTTCAAAACATTAAACAAAGTAATGTTTTAGTAAGCTAATATTAAATAAAGCAAATAATAGTGGCTGTCAACTAACAATGCCCCAGTTATTATTAAAATACACACGCAAGTATAATTTAAATAAAAAATAAATATAAAGCAGGTCTGCCATATTTATTTTACTTAGACAAAGAGTGGTGGTATACGCTCAAAATTTTTTTTAATTTTCAGAATTTTTCAAAAAAAATTTTTTTTCATGGAAAAGGCGCTCGAAGTAGCATCACTTAAAGGCTTAAAAATATTTCGAGTCATAAGAAAAATTTTTTGAGGAACATTTTCTCTTAAAAAAGGAAAATCCTCATGAAATTAATCCTCAAAGCAATTAAAAATATTTCTAAAATAACACTTAACGGATAAAAAATATTTTTGTGACCCTGGAGGGATTAATATTTAATAAGCAGGGTAAAACATTCACGTTAATAGCTATTAACATGAAATTAAATATTGGCTTGAATGCTTATTTAAATAAAATAAAAACATCTGTTAGGTCTAATTAAATAATTTATTAAAAATCTATTAAAAAAAATTTTTTGTGAAGAATTTTCTTGAAAAATTTTTATTGAAAAATTTTGAAAATTTTCAGATTTTTCAAAAAATTTTTGAAAATTTTTAAAAATTTTTTTGAAAATTTTTGAAAATTTTTTTTGAAAAATTTTGAAATTTTTTTGAAAATTTTTTAAATTTTTGAAAATTTTATTTTGAAAATTTTTTTTGAAAATTTTAGAAAATTTAGAAATTTTCTAAAAATTTTTCTAATAGAGCATAGACTTACATTAATCTCTGCCGCTCCCCCTTTTGACGCTGTCAATTGAATTTGACCTGTATTCGCCGACCCCCCATGTGTAGTTGTAGGCGAACTCTGAAAGTTCCAGCGACGTTGGGCGTCTTCCCTGTGCCGTTTTCTGCGTTCAATTGCCTCCAAATCGACTCCCTGAACTCGTCGGGTGCTAGAGGCCGCAATGTACCTGAGTAAAACATTTAAGAATGTTTTCCGGAAAACTTGATCGGACAAATTTTCAATGTGCGCTCAAGTTTTATTATAGAAAATAAAGTTTTAGTATTGTTTTTCCGGATAATAAAATAAAAACATTGTTTGGAGAAACATCTGGAAAAAATAAATGTTCAGATGTTTTCGTAAAACATTTAATAATGTTTTCCGGAAAGCATGAACATTATTTTTATAGATGTTTGTTTTATTCCGGAAAACAATGTTTTAATATTGTATTTAGAAAAACAATGTTTGAATAAGTAAAAATATTGTTTGGAGAATAAACATCTGGAAATGTTTAAATGTTTTATTAGATGTTTCCTTTAATTATGTTTCCCGGAAAACTTAAACGAACATTGTTTTTCTAGATGATTGTTTTATTCCAGAAAACAATGTTTAAATAAATAAAAACATTGTTTGGAGAATAAACATCTGGAAATGTTTAGATGTTTTATTAGATTTTTAATGTTTTCCGGAAAAATGTTTTATTAGATGTCTTAATGTTTTTTATATTTATTTTGTTTTCCGGAAAGCTTGAACGAACATTGTTTTTCTAGATGTTCGTTTTATTCCGGAAAAACAATGTTGTTTTTATTCAAAACAATGTTTGTAGAAACATAGCTTTCTCCAAACATTGTTTTGCGAATAAACATACATAAATGTTCAGATGTTTCCGTAAAACATTTATTTATGTTTTATAATAGTTTTTTATTTAAAATTTAAAACCTTCCATGAGGTTGGAGTTCGTCTATAGAACGAATCGGAGTTTTGCCATTGGGGGTGTGCAATCGACGAACGCCAAAAGGCATAGGAATGGAGTCGTTTAGAGAGTCCATGAGTGCATCCATTGTTCGGAATCGCCCTTTATTTATTGGTACTCGAACACCCTGAATATAGGGGAAATAAATTTGAATTTAGAAGGAAGGACAGGAAGGGGTCGTGGAGAAAGGAGAGCGATAAGTCGAACAACCTCGATTCTCGATAACCGATATTTTCGTTCAATACTCGCCTCGATCCGCTCCTTTTAATATTTCCTTTACACTACCCACGATGTTCCTTTCACATTACTCTTAATTAGAGTAATGTCTCAATAACCTAGATTTTTGTTCAAGATCTCGACTCGGTCCGATCTTAAATAAACTACTAGAATTCCGTAAATATACTAATACAATATACTGATACAAGCCCATCAATTAAAGAAACTCAGGCCCTATTAGAAGCTCAGGCCAAATAATAGGGCTAATAGGGTTCAGGCATCTAAAAGAAGCACAGGCCCTATTAATTATTAGATTTAACTTCATTTTTAAAACCATTTTTAAATCATCTCCCAGTAGGTATAAGCTCTAATTAGATTATACAGGCAATTTTAATTGCTTTAGAATTGAAATATAAATTTCAAATTTTTTTATAACTGACTCTCGCTCATTTAATTATTACCCTTACTTTATTATATGCTTTCTACTTAATATATTAAAATTTTTTTTATTTTTAAATAAATGTAGTAGCAATATCAAATTTTCTGCAGATACTAACTAACATTTAAATAATTAACACTCGCCTAACTTTATTTTTAGAAAATTCAAAAAATGTCTAATTATAGAAGGCAGTTAAGGAAGCCTTCTCTTGAAAAAAGAGGCTCTCCTAGAATGGGTCTCCTCGAATGGGCTTCTTTTAGAGGCGGGCTTCTATTAGAAGTGGGCTTCTATTAGAGACGGGCTTTAGTAGAGGTGGGCTTCTATTAGAGGTGGGCTTCTATTAGAGACGGGCTTCTATTAGAGGTGGGCTTCTATTAGAGACGGGCTTCTATTAGAGGTGGGCTTCTATTAGAGACGGGCTTCTATTAGAGACGGGCTTCTATTAGAGGTGGGCTTCTATTAGAGACGGGCTTCTATTAGAGACGGGCTTATATTAGAGGTGGGCTTATATTAGAATAAATAAGGTACTCCTTCCTATTTAAAAAAGCAGTTAAAGAAGCCTTCTCTTGAAAAAAGAGGCCTCGAAAAAATTTTTAAGAAAAAATTTCAAAAAAAATTTTTTCTCACGTCCTTAATAATTAATACACATACTGAACGGTCTTAGATTTTTAATAATTAATTTATTAAGCTATATGTTCAAGTTTTAGACGCATAAGAGGACAATTATTAAAGGTTGCTATGGCAATAAAGACAAATTTATTTTAAAAAATGCTTAATATGCTGGATTTAGACAATTGACAAAATTTTTTGAATAAAAAAATAACTGAAAAAAATAATTGGAATAAAAATTCCCGACCATTCCGCTTAGAATAAGCGGATTTTTAATAAAATCTGTAAATATCGGAGTTACCGTAAATATCCTAATAGAAGCCCTAAGCTTGTATTTTTCAATACCTTCCATCGGGTGGGCTTCTAATAGGGCATGGGCTGCTATTAGGGTTGGGTTTGTATTAGGATATTTACGGTATATGTACCAACCAAAAATAGGCACTCCTTCCGTTTAAGGGGGGCCGCAGTCCTCTGACCATTATGAGACCATTATTAGACTCATAATGGTTAGAGAACTGCGGTCTCCTTAAAAAAGGCGGACCAATTAATTAGCCAGATCCAGACAAAAATTGGATTAAGCTTTCAATGATATGGCACATATCAGTCTCTGATACATATAGATCATGTAGATCAGAACTGTGCGCCATGCCGTTTTCGCGTCCATTTTTGGTCTATTTGGCGTTATGGAGTTTGGCGTATTTCAAGAATTTGAAAAATTGGAGTTTGGCGCGCCACGCGAAAATTT